TAACAAAAAAAAAAAAAAAAAAAAAAATAAAAAATAAATAAATAAATAAAAATTAAACATTAGATTACTGTAATATTAATCTTATTTTTAGATAAATCAAAAATTAAAAATATAAAATATATTATATTTTATGTTTTTATAATATGTGCACATATAAATATATATATATATATATATATATATTAAGTTATATAATTTTTAATTGTGCAAAAACTATTTGACATTAATAATAAATAAATAAATTTTAAAAATAAAATAATGTGTTTTATAAAATTTCAATTATACCACTTAACAATTTTTTTGTAAATAATATATAAAAAAATATTTCAATAAATTTTTTTATTTAATTTACTTTATTAGGTACACATTTTATATACACACATATATACTCATGTATATATATATATATATATATCTATGTATTTATGTATTTTTTTTTTAAATGAGGCGAAAAAAAATAAAAAATATATAAGTTTTAGTAAAATTTTTTTTTTGATTTTTTAGATACATTCTTATAAAAAATTATGTTAAATTAATCAAATATATTTAAAATAAGAAATATACCATTTACTAAAAATCTTTCAAAATTTTTATACTTTTGCATTTTTATATTTTACATCTATTTTTAAATTTTTGTATTATTAGAAATTGATACACTTGAAAATAAAGAATGTATACATGAATACTAATAAAATATATTTTTTTTTTTTTTTTTTAAATATTAAATATTTAACAATGTACAATAAAAAAAAATAAAATAATATTATTTATCTATTTAAAAATTTTTTTTCTTATTTTTATTTATTTATTAGTTGACCATCTAAAATGGAAAATTTTTTCATTACTATAAAGGATTATATAAATGATCATAAAATGAGCTTTGCAATTTATTATTATTATTTTTTTTATATATTTGCATGCGATTCGAAAAAATATTATAATTAATATATTTTAATATAATTTTATTTTTAACACTTATTTATGATACTTTATTAATTTATTTTTTTTTTAATACAACATATTAATGAATATGTATAAAATAAAATGTATTTCCTTTTAGTTATAATAACTTATTCCTATTTCATAAGTGCATGCATATGTTACACAATCATTAAAATTAGCAAAAATAAAATTCATATTGACAATAAAAATTAGTTAATTAAAATTAAGCGAAATAGAAAATTAATATTAACATAATATTCCTTTTTTTTTTTTTTTTTTTTTCTTTTTTGTATATGCATATTTCCTTATATTTAATTGATTTTTAAAAGTATTTTTTAATATTTGTATTTTATAATATTTGTATTTTTTATTAATTGTATTTTATAATATTTGTATTTTTTATTAATTGTATTTTTTATTAATTGTATTTTTTATTAATTGTATTTTTAAAATAATTTAAAAATTTAATAGGAATATAATATTTTATTGTAAGAAATTGTCTTAAAAAAATATTTTAATTACTATAATATTTCAAATAAAATTATAAATTTACATATAATAAGAGAAAAAAGACAATATTAATAAAATTTATTCTAAAATATATATAAGTAATAATTTTTATACATTTTTAATTATAGTATTATTTATTACAACATTAATGAAATATAAAAAATTCTTCAATAAAGCATAATATTCATATAATTAAAATGTAATATACTTATAGAAAAAAAAAAAAAATAAATAAATAAACAATTGATATAAGAATAAATAATATGCACTATTATATTTTTATATCTCTTTTTAATTTTTATCCTA